AAAAACATAAAAAAATAAACCCCACCCCCTTTCCAAAAAATCCCCCCCCCCCGCCAAACACCCCCCCCCCCCCCCCCCCCCCCCCCCTCCCCCATAGTCGGTAATTGCGCGCAGTTTTTGCAGCAAGACTTTTACTCCATCATGATTGCACGGTCCCTGGCAAGAGTTTCACACCACAGTCATGGTGCGGCGCCATACACCTTATATGTGCACTCAAACTATGTCAGCTGAAGAGGACGATTGAAGTTAAATTTGAAGGATTCTGCCATGTTGACTAGATTGAATAGAGTGTTCTCTATAATTCTGCACAAGGCAGACCTCTATATCACTTGTGGTTCTCGAATGACAGGCATTTTCCCCACAAAATAGTAACCAATAATTGGTAACTCAGGAAAATGTCTGCCATTCGAGAGCCACAAGTGATAGAGAGGTCAGCCTTGCGCAGAATTGTAGAGAACACTTTGGGCTATCTGACCACCATATTGGAATTAAAAATCCATACAGTAAAGCCTTCTCTACAAAATGCTGAAAAGCCGAACTCTCTATCTCTTTTTGTTCTCGAGTTATTCAAAAAATATCCATTGTCGCTCTACTATTACGAAATCCATAGTAGAAACCCCCATTTATCTAAAACCGTGCACAAATAACTGCTTATTGGTAATATTTTGAAGCGTCAATACAAGGATTCGTAGCGCTTAGAAATCTCTGTCGAATGATGGATTACTTTACCGTTTCAAATAAACCGTTAATTTGCAAATAAAAGTGTAAGGCATCAGAGTAATATTAATTAGTAGTCATTAGCATTGATTAATTATAAATTATTGTCTTAAAAAACGTTTTTCTGAAATGTTTTTCATCAGACCATAACAACACATCATTAGCCATCAAGCAATACACGAATGACTTTTCTACGATTATTTTCGACTGACTTACAAGTTTTTTAAAATGAGGACTAGGACTTTACATTTTAATTAAAATTTAAACTTAATTAATTAATAACTCTGTGAATAGTTATCAGTTCATCGAATGAACTTAAGGTATATGTAGTCAGGTGTCCTCTTTAAACTGACAAAGGTTGAAGGTACATATAGGTGGTGGGGACGTCCTTTAAGTTAGATAAGTTCCCGTTTTGAGTTTCGCGCACTATTCCTATAATTTTGCTGTAGGGCAATAGCAGTTAGCTGTTATTTGCCTTGAGCATTTGACTTATTTTGTTTTGAGTAATGTTTTTTCAACTGAGTGAGCGCGTTTTAGCAATGCCTACAACAAAATTCGAAGTTATCGTAAATAAGTGTCCAACATGTGATAAAAATGTTTATGCAGCTGAAGAAATGATAGTAGCAGGAAAGCATTGGCATAAATTATGCTTTAAATGTGGTAGGTGTGCAGTTTCTTTACAAAAGGAAATAGCTTGAATACTTTTTTGTTCAGCATCTTGCACCAAAAAACTAGAAATGCTGTCACTGAAGGAGCACAAAGCTGATATCTACTGCAAACAATGCTACGTTAGTAAAATTCATGAAACTGCAAATGTGACAATAAATACCAGGTGAGATATCAAGCATAATCATCGTCGTAGCTGCAATTTCTTTCATTAATTCTTTTTCCTAGTCCAATAAATGACAAAATTTTGCCTGATGTTCGCAAAAATAGTGAAAAAATGGACAGAGCGAACTCAAGAGTGTTGAAAAATCCAGAAGAAAATCTCGAATTGTTTACGTTAATATGGCTCGATGCAAATGTTAACAGTACAGCGGAAAATGTAGAAACAGCATCTAAACTACGACGTATTATCAATTTTTTGAAATTATTTGATAACGTCAGTGACTGTGAATGGTATATTAAAGACATAAAGCAAGAGAAAGTGGTTCTCATTGTCAGTGGAAGTTTAGGGTCAAACATAGTACCCAATATACACAATCTACAACAGGTGGATTCAGTCTATGTTTATTGTACAGATAAAGTAAAGAATCGGCAGTGGTCAGAAAAGTACAAAAAGGTATGTTTTTAGTAAAAACTAAAAATAGTTGCCAATTATATGTATGTTGCAGGTAGTGGATGTTATAACTCAGCCTGATGAATTGGTAACCAAAATTTCCAAAGACCAACTATATCGTAACAAAGTAGAAGATCTACCGTCAGTCGCTGTCTACGATCAAACACATAAAAATCTATCAGCAGAAAACGGAAATTTCATTTGGTTTCAACTGTTTATTGAGACGTTAGTTCGGATGGATAACAAAAAAGCTAATCACAAAATACTGTCACAGCTAATGACACAACACTACGCTGATCAAACGATAATAGACGAGTTTGTTTTGACATATCGGCCTGAGAACGCCGTGTGGTGGTACTCACGGCAGAGTTGCATCTACCGTATTCTGAATAAAGCATTACGAGTTCAGAACATGGACATGTTATTTAATTTTCGATTTCTGATCGCTGATATTCTGGATCAGCTCAAAGCTGAACAAAATAATTTCAAAGAATCTAAAGTAAAGTTGTACCGTGGTCAAACAATGTCATTGGCAGAAGTCGAGAAAATGAGAAAAAGTATTGGTCAATTAATATCGATAAACTCCTTTTTTTCGACAACTTTAAATCGAGATATAGCTCTTCCGTTTACCAAATCGATTAGGGAGTTTAAAGCGGACATCCAATCTGTTTTATTTGAAATTGAAGCAAATACCCGTTTAAAAGAGACAAAACCATTTGCTCTTATAAACCATTTGAGTTTTGATGGAAAAGAAGACGAAGTTTTGTTTATGCTCGGCTCAATATTTCGACTTGTATGTGTTGAATTTGATGACAAGAAAAATATATGGAAAATCAAACTAGTACTGCAAAGTGAAAATGATCACGAACTGAAGACTGTTTTAAATCACATGAAAAAGGATATGGACGACAAAACTAGCCTCTTGTCACTTGGCATACTGCTCTCTAATATGGGCGAATTAGATCAGGCACAAAAATATTTTTATTCTGTGATAGATGACCTGTTAGAAGCCGAGGATCAACAAATAGCTTCTTGTTATCATGAGCTCGGAAAAATTGCTCGTACAAAGGGTAATTACGATGATGCTATATTTTTATTTCAAGTATCTCTTGATCTAAAATCAAAATATTTTGCAATTAACAGTACATCAATGGCAACAACTTATGCGAACATTGGTAACACTTATATGTGCAAATGCGAATACGAATTAGCACTAAAGAACTACACCCGTTGTCTTGACATTTTCCTGGCCACGATCGGGCCAAATGATGTGATGACAGCGCAAGTTTATCATAATATCAGCAGCATATATCGACTTCAAGGGAACTTTGATCTAGCGAGAGCAACTCTTGAGAAATCGTTGAATATTATATCAAATAAATTACCAACAGACCATGCGGATTTTGCTCTTCTTTATGTGAGCTTCGGTGAACTTTACAACAATCAACTAGATTACAAACAGGCAATTTGCTTTTACAAACGAGCGCTGGATATTCAACAAAAAACTTTGCCCAAAAATCATAAAAATATCGGCAAGACTTATGGTTCTATTGCTGACTGTTATTCCGGTGCTTCTCAATACAGTGAGGCAGTAGAAAGTTTTCAGATGGCTTTGAAAATATGTCAGAATGCTCTGCCACTAAGTCATCCACGTATAAAGCAAACGGAAGACCGAATCAAGAGCGTCACAAGTAAGCTCATGCATGACATTGCAGTCGATACTGTTGACCCACCAATCCACGATTTATTAATTTATTTTTGACTGAAAGACCTCTCGTGATTATCTGGGTTGTCCGACGCCAAGAGTTTTATGCACTACCATTTGTGGTACCTCACACGTACAGCTTTGGTATTATAATTCATTTGAGAAATCCTGTCTGAATTTTAAAAAGCGTACCATCTCCTGTAAGTTCCGGAGTAAATAAAAATGGCTGAGTATATCGCCAATCAAACTTTTTATACAATCGTGGGAATCATGATTAACCGACGTTTGAGCGCCCGACATTTGAGCGCTGACATCTGAGCGCCGGCAGTTGAGTGACCCCGACATTTGAGCGATCGACATTTGAGCGACCGACACTTGAGCGACCCACATTTGAGTAATAACGACAGTTCAGCACCAACTGCTCCCCCTCACCACCCTCATCCTTATTTGAGCGACCGCATCTGAAGGACTCCAATAATTGAGCGAAGCGCATCACCTATAGCTACTCACCCTCACCCTCTACAGATCTCCAAATAATTCAGTTCATAATCGGACGACAAAAAAATTGTTCTGATCATCGTTATCGAAGTGAATAATCATTCGACTTTCCTGATCGGCAAAAAGTCATATTGAAAAGTGTCTAACGTCGGAGTCGCTCAAACGTCGGTCGCTCAAATGTCGGGGTCGCTCAAGTGTCGGGCGCTCAAACGTCGGTTTACGGGGAATCATCATCATATGCACGTTGTCATGTCGAAGGACTGCCTTCTTTGTTGATCTCAGCTATTCGTATTTGCCCGGTCTTCGCTGTCATGCATTATCTTTCGTTTACACGTGCTGGATTATAAGTCAGACGAAAGACCACAACGTGCTGATTGAGCCTGTGATGTACTCTTGCTCAAAAATGTTACAAAAACGTTTTTGCTAGCGCAGTGTATGAATATGAAAAAATACAAGCAGCTCTAATGGTTCAATATGAACCAGCTTTGCGTTCCTCTTAATAGTAATTAGTCTCAAGTCATTTTGGGTGACTCCCTGTATTTTTCTAGCACTCAAAAGCGTTCCTAGGTAAAAACCAACACTTTTACATTGATCAGCATGGCCGATAACCTATTTATCGAGTATTTGTTTCAGTATAATCAAGAGGTTTTCTTGCACGTGTTTTCAACATTGGAGGGCTATCTTGGCAAGGAGACATAATTTTCTGCTTTAGAATACCATTTGAAAGCGCTCGTCAAGCTCTACAAACCTAGCGAAAAAACTAAAAAGTTTTTTTTTCGGAAAATATGCTATTTTCCCGAACTTTCGCCTGGAAAACTTAGCTAGGAAAAATTTTATAAAAATTTACTTTTTGCATGGCACCGGAAGCTACTCCTCTCGTTTTTTTGAATGAGTAGTGAGTTTAAAGTTTGCCTACTTTCGACTTCTTGCGTTACTGTGAACTAATATAAAATGGTCTATTGAATAATATTTAGAATGCTTACGCTAAAGTAACGCTTTTTTGGTTGATTTCAACTTCTACTTTTATGAAGATGCATCATGGTAACTGCGAATGGAGAATTTTACATTTGTAAAAGAGCAAGAACTGTACAATTAAACGTTGAAGACAATCAAATTTGATAGAAAATTCTATAAATTTAGAGTAATTCTCATAATTTCATGTTCCAAAATGTTTAATTCTACAGTTCTTGTCTTTAGCAATCAAGATGGCCGTGAAATACTCACGCTCCCCGTTTGGATAATCGATTGGAATTATACCTCTGGGGATTTTGTTTTTGTAGTTTCCACGCAGAACTCAAGATCTAGCAAACGCTGTATATAGCCTAGAATTTTGCTTAAGGCTCTCTCCGTCAAAAATATATGAAAAAATGGTTAAGTTATAAACATATTAAATATGAAAAATTAGAACAATCACAAATATATGAATGAGATTCTATCGAATTATTTTATAACGATTATTCAATACAATCCCTAATGTTTATAAAACAGACAACCAAAATTTTAACTATACTCCGATGCTCAATGATCTCCATATGGTTATGGGTCTGGAACAGGATCTGGTTGTGATCGCCAACGTGGCTTTTCTCTTTATTAAACAACACAAAAAAAGGAAGAGGGAAAAACACGCCACGTTTAAAATTGCAACTGTATGTACTTATAGAAAAAAAACAGTAGTGACACATTCAGCTATGTATAAACATCAACAAAAGAACATAAGAGAAGCGAGAGTGAGTGAATATCATTACAAAAATATATGGCCGCTGTGGCATGATAATAATAAAAAGAAATAGAGAAATAGTGCCAGAGAATAAAGCGAACCTAGATGAACGAAGTGCATGTGCGGTCAAGTACTTTATGTAACAATGTTCTAACAAGAATTGTGGTTCGTTTTGTTGTAGACTGTAAAACCTCTTTTATTTTAAATTTCAAGGAGGAATGACATTAGATAAAAAGAGAGTTTATGATTATCAACTGTTAAATAATGCACTGGGTACTGTATTTTCAGCGCTATATGATACAGATTTAGCAAATTGCGTTGTGTATATTAGAGAATGTAAACACAAGATCTTGACTTCTTGCAATTTCTGCCAAGATTAACTTTCTTGAGCTGGCTCCCAAGATCTTACCACTTCTTCAGCCAAGATCTTATACAAGATCTTGTGTACAAGAAACCAGAAATCAAGATCTTAATTTCTTGGACTTTTTTCCAAGTTCTGTCACCTTCTTGTACCTAATATCTTGGTTACAAGAAGTTTCACTAGGGCAATCTTCGAATATTATATTGTAACGGTCCCACAGAGCTTGGCAACGGAATAGACGGTACAGGTTCCGCGTTCTGCTCCGAAACCTCCAGTATGTACTCAAAAGAAACTCCGATTCATAGATAGAACGGGTACGAGAACTTATCTATCAAAACTTTATTCCACAGAAGTGCTGGCTATGTCAAATCGAACGATCCGCGACCTAAAACAAAAGAAATGTTAGATCAGGAAGCTAATTAGAAAAGAAGGCTAATTTATTAAAGCTAATTTTCTGACTCATCGAAAGCATAACGCCTTCGAGCAAATGTTTTTACTACAGATGCGCCTCTCTCTGTCTCGGGTTCTAAATGTTTCCAGAAAATATGCATTTCTTTTACAAATATTCGAAAATGTTGATCATCTCTTGAATATCGTATATAAAATATTCTTTTTAGTTTCCCTGTAGTATGCGTCAAGATGAAAGTTGAACTGTTAATCTACATAACTTTCTTTCTTGCCTGATAGAAGAAAGTAAACAAAACATTATGTTGTTTTGTGTACAAAGATCGCTTTAAAAGAGCATAATCTTTGATGTAATGATTAAAAAAGAAGAAAAAATGCATCGGGAAAGGCTTGAATTCACAAGAGGTAAGTTTGAAATTTTCAGCGCTATCTGATATTAAATAGGTGTGTGTGTGCTTTAACGCAAAAAATTAGCTGTGAACACAATTCTCCTCTACATCTCCTATATACAAAACTAAACTCTACGTCTCTCGGAGTTCACCTTGCAACAGAACAAATTCAGATGAGCATTTTCTCATCACGATCAACAGTACTGATGAACTTTCATTCTATGGAAATTTTCCGCCACGATAACGTTTTATATCTTAACCAATGGTAAGAATTGAGAAAACATTTTCGTCATAAAGCATTTTTTTCTGCTTCCGACGATGAAACGTTTTGTAAATTCTTGCTTAGACTGGTACAACCTGCTAAATTAACATTAGGTGGTGTCGACACAACTAAATACATAGCTCCAATAACCTATACACCGGTAAACCTTAAGGGCTTTTGGGAATTTTCCATGAATAGTGTTAGTGTTTTGGACACAAAAGTATGTACATCTGGATGTTATGCCATAGCTGATACGGGTACAACATTTATAACTGGTCTATGATTAGTTGAAGATGAAATTGATCAACGTCAATGGTGTGCAGTCACTTACAATAATGCACCATGGTTAAAAATATATGATATCATAATGAATTTTCTCAATATAATTGCACCATTTACAATTAATTTAATATCAACCATTTTAATTCTTCATCGAGTAACACAATCAAAAATAAATGTTAAAAAACAAGAAAAATTTTCAAATATTATAGAACAACAATTGATGTTTCATAAACATTTAATTATAAATCCATTAATTTTAATTACACTGACATTTTCACGATTAATTATATCATTAGTAAGTGTTTGTGGAAAAGAAACAAAATTATCATACGTAAATTTATTTGGATACTTTATATCATTTTTACCACCAGCATTAACAGTTTTCGTTTTTGTTACACCGTCAATTACAAATAACAGCGAATTTAAAACATTTTTTAAACGTACTCGAACGTTTAAATGGTTTACAACATTAAAAAATCGATTTATCAACGCTTAAAGAATGAAACATAGAAAAAGTTCAAACTATTTCATGCCTTTTTTGTTGTGCTAATAAGTAAAAACAAAAATTTCACTTCTTATTTTAAGAAAAAAAGATTGTTAGTTGGGAGGATGCAAAAATTATTTACGGTTATCTTGAAAACGAAACTAATTTTTCATTATTGTATTGCTCAAGCGATCCAGACATGCTCCTCCATCTTCGTCATTTGAATTCTATACAAATATAATAAGTTAAACAGAGAATGATGGATGCATAGTTGACGGAAGATTAAAGCAGTCTTCATTTTTTAGTTTTTGTAGATGTAAGAAAAAAATCACTATGTATAAATATTCCTACAGATGTTGTAATCGCGCAATTTTTCTTTCCTACTAATGTGGCATATTTAAAATTTATCTTTACCTTTGGCAAAAGTATTTTTTTCAATTTTGTTACTTTACATTATTAAAACTTTTACTTTTTTCAGAAAGAAAAAACCTTCTTATCTTAAGGGTCCGATCGAGCTCAAATTTTACCACAGATACTTTAGACCTTATCTCAGGATGTAAATTTTTCTTTTCGAAAATATGCTTTCTTTCTTGAGATATTCGAAAAATACTAAAAATCGTGTATAAAAAACGAGTCTTTTATTTTAAAAACCCTCTCACGCCGAAAGTTGATATCGAAAATTCTTAAACAAATTTTACATCCTGAGATAGGGTCTGAAGTATCTGTGGTAAAAAGTATAGTTCGAGGAACGCTCAAGCATCGGGCCGCTCGTTTGTCAGATGTCTTTGTCGACACTCCCTGAGAGTGCCAATATGCTCATCCAAAAAAAAAAAACAAATTTCATCAATTCATTTGACGATACCTGTAGAAACAATAAGAAGCGAAATTGTTTTATGTTTTTTTGATTTATCTGAGACGCAGGAGAAAAAAATACTCAGTTTCTTGAAAGTGAAGCAAATCGTACAGTGTATTGCATACCTACAATAGGAGAAGAACAAGTAGGAGAAAGAAAGAAATGAAGGTTAAATAAACATATTTTAGTATATCCTGAAGTAGTATCACAACTTGTTATAATTAATTTTCATAAACTCTGTCATCATTATTTCTTTTTCTATACAGTGTCTCGGCACATCATTACTTTTTTCATGACCTTCTAATTAGGGTGACCCTCTAATACGTCTGAAATTTAGAATGTCCTATGTTTCAATAAGTTTCATTTTTGTTTATGTTTTTCATACTAGAGACAATTTTTTTTTCGTATTAGAAACTAATTTTTTTTCCACATAGCTAGTAGAGTCTTTTGCTTTGTATTCCTGTC